CCCCCCACCCATTGTCAACCACCACAAACCCCCCAAAGGACCCTGGAGCTGGGGGGTCAGTTTGTCCTGCTGGGCTCGGGCCACTGCGACGGCGAATTCAGGCGGCTGGCCGAGCAGGAGTTCAAGGGACACCAGGACGTCAGGTGATCTGAGATCCTCGCGCACCCGCGAGCCCCCGTTGCTGGACCTGGATGGCAGCACTCAGCCTCCGCTCCGAGTCTGGCTCCGAGTCTGGGTTTGAGGGGGTTACTTAGTCAATCGCCAAGGGGCATGGAGCATAGCGCTTGTGGTCGGAGGCACGGCCCTGCCGCGCAGGCGAGAGTGGCTGCAGCGCGCCCGGCGCTGCCTGCACTCTGCTGTGACAAAGGCGAGCCATTCGAAACCCAAAAGCCTGGCAGCACGCAGAGCATCTGCGTAGCCAGAATTGCCAACGCGCCGCCTGATCTGCACCCATTTGCCCTCCCCAGCCTGAAGATCTTCTACAGCGAGGCGCTGAGTCACCAGATCTACGCGGCGGCCGACATTGTGCTGGTGCCCTCCATGTTTGAGCCCTGCGGCCTCACCCAGATGATCGGCATGAGATACGGCGCGGGTGAGGGGCAGGGTCGGGGAGGGGGTTGCGGGGGGGAGAGGGTCGATTTATCCGCGGACTGTCATGAGTCATCCTCCTTTCCCCACCAAAGCCGCCCAAAAACAAGCCCCCTCTCGCACCACACCCCACCTCGCGCCGCCGCGGCGACCATGTGCCCCTCTTCCCCTCCCCCGAGCGCAGTCCCCGTCGTGCGCCGCACTGGCGGCCTGGCCGACACGGTGCGCGATGTGGAGGGCGCGCCCGAGGGGGAGGGCAGTGGTTACGTCTTTGATGGCACAGACGAGGCCAGGTGGGGCGCCGGGGTGTGGGGACGCAGGTTCTGTGGGGCAACCGCACGGGGTGTGGGTTGTGCGCGCTGCCGGATTGCGTCAGATCTTGAGTTTGCTGTTGACTGCACGGCCGAGTGCATCCCTGCGACTCTTGCACGTGCGTGTATGTGTGCGTGTGCGTCACACACGCGCACACACACACACACACACACACACACACACACACACACACACACACAAAGCACACACACACACACACAAAGCACACACACACACACACAC